TGAAATGGCATTGGTCTGGATTTGTGAAAATCCACCTTGCTCAGTGGGGTGAAGTAAGTCCTGTGGAAGTAGAACAGACATATCCTGGAGAGAGGTCTCTGGAGTTACAGTAAGAGCTAGGTCCAGATGTTTAATTGATGTTGTATATGATTTTGAATGTTCAGTTCTAGACATTGCCTCTAGAGCTGCAGGTGAAAGAAATGCTTTTGTCATTGAAGGCCAAGCTGAGCTCCCTTGCTGTCTTGGAGAAGGTTCAGCAGGAATCTCTTTAGGCTGGGTTGGGACCTCTTGACCAGACAAAGAATAGTGATCCTTTTTTGGTGGGGTTGGATGCTGAGATGGGACACTGTGTGATGCTAGAGAATAAAGTTGACCATGACCCAAGGGTGGACCTTTTAGCTCATGATGACCTGGAGGTTGAGCTACCTCTTCTTTAGGCAGTTCCAGAACCTGTTCTGGAGCCTTTTGCTGGGCTGGAAAGAGTCCTCCTTCCTTGGAGATCTGTGATATTCCAGTTGTGTCTTCCTGCTGGCGTAGAGGTTTATCATATAGAACAGATTCTGGGGATTGAGGTAGAATGCCCTGTTGATTTGGCAGGAGCTCAGCCTCTGCAGCTTCATGGTAGACAGATGTTCCCATACCTATGGGGTTTTTTGTTATTGTTATCGCCAGATTTGGTTGACCAGTCCCATGTGACAAGCTAGAATGCTGAGCCTGATAGTGACCTGGGGGCAAAACTGTCACTTCATGGTTCTCTCGAAACTGAGCTTGTTGTTCTTGTACAGTTGAAGAAGGTTTAAACTCTTCAGCATACTCTGAGGCTTGAGCTCGTACCTCTTGCTGGCTTTCAAACTGACTCTCCCCAGGAGTCTCAGCCTGAGCTGGAGGCTTCTCCTCATTGAGAAAGGGTCCCACCTCACCAGGAGACTCTAAAGGATGCGCTGGGAACTCCTGCTGGGCTAGAGAAGATTCAGTCTCTTTGGTAGGCTCTGAAGTTATGGTAA